TATAAATACAAATGTAAAACATTTTGATAATTTAATAAAGAACATAGATGAAACCATTATTAATAGTTTCAATTTTTCAAATTTTTACCTTATATTTATTGTGATTTATTGTAAACTTCTTAATAGTTTAATGCTACTTAAGTGATGTTTTTTTTTGCATTAATAAATTAAACCATATATATTTTTAAATAGAATTTTCTTATTTACAATTATAATCATTTTTTCTATGCCCTTTAATATTTTATAATCATTAATAAATTTTATATCTTCAACATTAATGATGTAGCATTTTCTTGCTCAATTAAATATATTTTTCATAAAGTGTATCACCATTCTTGATACACTGTACTGCATACCTTATTTTGTGATAAGCATTTAAAACTTAATTCAACGTATCTTATTTAATTTATATGAATTTGAAAAATATTGTTTTTGTTTATCTGATTTTCAGAAATTAATTAAGAATGCTATCAATTGAATTGAATGTCTTCTTGACTGAAATGATAATTCTATCAAAAATATTCTTAATACATGATATATTTTTTATACATTTTTATTCTAATGATGTTGTGAAGACTTCGTCCCTCTTGGATCTCAATATTATTTTCTGGTGAGGGTAACTGCTTGCTCATTGGTGGGGACCAAATGCCCTCTATAAACTATTTTTTAATTTGTGCGTTTTGCACCTATSGACATCACAAAAAAATTAAAATAAATGTAATTACCAGCCATTAGGGTATTTAGTACTATTAATCTAGATTTATATTTATTATAATTTAATATACATTTATGTTTACTTACCTTTAGATTCTAATTAATATTAATCCTCGCCTCATATTTTTACTCACAATATATGGCTATTGTAACATTTTATCTGTAGTGATAATTTATTTTATGAATAGTTTTTTTTTAATTATGTTTAGGTTAATAACTATCTATTCTTACCTCTATTTTTTATAATTAATACTTAAAGTACTTATCGCTTAAGTACTTTTTTCCTATTAATTTTTTAATTTTTAAACAATAGTAAATTGTTTTATGTGCTATTAATTTTTTTTAAATATAAACCTAACTTCCAAATGTGGACACAATTTAAAAATATTGTTAAGATAATAGTTTTTCAAAATAAAAATCTTATTTTAGTTGATTATAACCTTCTGGTGCATTTATAATAAATTAACCATTATTTATTGAAACTTCAAAATAAACATTATTTATGTGTTATTAATATTATAATAAAATGATAATTACAATTGATGTTATAATAACTTGTCTGTTTTTACTAGTCTCAAATCTGAAAGATATCATTATCTGGTCAAATTTGACTTTGAAGCTTGTAGAGAAATTTAAATTTGTATATTTTTTAGGTGGCTGATGCACAAAGACCAGTTGGATCAAAAGAAGGTTTTTTGGCCATGCTGGAATATGCAGAAGAATATTTAAATGTATCTCATATAATTGTCTGCTTTGCCAAGAACCATCCTGAACGCAACATACTGGTCAGAGGTTTCATGTTTTTGGGATTTTCGTTACAACCTCCAGGGCTCAACAAGATTGTACCACATGCTGCTATTGATAACTATAACCACTATATGGTGTACGATGTCGAATCATAATTTCATTAAATTTCTCTCATTTTTAAAAACAAAAACAAAATATTCAAATAATTTCAAAAATTATAATTATTTAAACTGTAGGATATATAGTTGAATTCGATTGTCAATGCTGCCACTACCCCTCTTTGTTGCTCTTAACATTATTATTATTAAATGTGTAAATTGATGCTTGTTTAATCATACAATAATTAATTACTTTAATTACATTACATTTTAAAATATTTTTTTTTTTGCTTTTGTTTATTACTTACATAGATAAATACTTTTTTTTTAACAATCATGTAAATGAAATTACACTTTTTTCTAATTTGTCTCAATTTTTATTTTTAGATTAAGAATTATTTATAGTTATAAAAAAAAACAATAATTATATATTTAAATGGGTATCAATCTGTTTTTATTTATTTATTCTTATGGAAAAAAATAGTTATCTTTTAATTAATCAAAAGCGTTTTTGGAAATCATATTTTCATATGATACAGAAAAGTTTATGAATAAACTTTTGTTTACAATTAATTATACAAGTGTTGAATAGTTAACAAATAAATATTTATCAATGGTTGAGCTTTGCAACATAAGTATTGATAAAAATTAAAAATTACAAACAAACACTTCACACATTATTTATAAGTATTAAAATATAATGTATTTTTAATSAATGTTATGAACATATTTTTTCATAAGAGAATACTACCTGTGTGTTTGTCATCTTTATATTACTCACCTACAACGACCTATTAAAAAACTATTAGCCTCTAGGTAAGAACGTTTATTAGTGCTTAAGCGTCACTGATTTTTGATATTTTCATTTTCAAGCAAGATATGGATCGGTGTGTGAAATATCAAAAGTTAATAATGCTCTTGCTTGAAAATTAAAACTGAATAAAAGCCAACGCTTTAACACAGATAATAATCTTACCATAAAGTCTGATAATAGGTCCATTTACTTTTATATAAAAACTAACAGGACACTATTAAAACTAGTGAACATGCCATGTATTACATTATTACATGTGTAAGGCGGGTACAATAAATGTATGGGCAGCATTCTRTCAACACAGCTATAAATAGTATTTATAGCTGCGGTTAATAAATAATAAGTAACAAGTAAATCATTGATTAAATATATTTAAAAAAATAAAAATCGTGCCCGTACAAAAATAATTTTTTAATAGTAAAATCAGGGAATTGCAATGTAAGTGTGTAAAATTGTTAAATCACTAATATACCCATAATTATGAAAAACTTAGCTTTTAATCAAAATTTGTGTAAAACATGTGCCTAAAAAGGTTGTATCTGAGTTTAAGTTGGATAAATAGCTATTAAATGTTTTACAATCACAGAAAGTCATTGCTGACTCGTTAAGCGGAAGTTATATCCCCATAATTGTATTGTCTGTCTCCGTATTTTTTGGGAACTCCAATATCGAAAAAATAGAAACTATATATTTTACATTCAGTTTTTTCATTTTTATATGGTGAAAATGTAATTTTTTTAGTTATGTAAAATACAGGTGATTC